GTTGCGGTCGGCTGGGTATATAATTCATGGTCATTCCTTTGCAAATCCAACAAGCGCCACGACATCCAGAGAGAGAGAGAGAGAGAGTAGGAACGACCAATGTGAAGTTCTGGAAAGTCACTCAAACTGGGCTACAATGTATAGATATGGAAAGTTACTCAAACTTCTGGAAAGTCACTCACTGGTTGATATATGTGTTGATATTGCCCCTGGAACCACAAGTAAGACCTGCGACTCAATGATCATAGGCATAGGTGAACCCTTAAGGCTTAGGATACCAGAGGTTTCCCTCAAAGATACCTCCATGGATCCATAGATCTCACATAGGTCCAACAAAATGTTCAACATTCAGATTAGTTTGTTGTTAACATATTTAGGTCTTAGATATATTGGATCTCTAGATCCCGTGGTATGTCCACAGGTCCAAACCAGAGATCCGTTTTCCGGTCCAGGAGCGGCTGCGAGAGCTTCAGGTCTCCGTCCGGGGCCGCAATGCCGTGCTCCGCTCCAGTCGCGGTCGACGACCCGTGGGTCGGTTGATCCGCTGAATGGACATTCACGGTGATGGAAGCATTAGCTTCTTGTTTCTACTAGTAACAAGTGCCACGCTAGTAGTAACAAGTGCCTTACTAGTAGTAACAAGAAGCTATTAATTTAAATTAGATTTAAGTTTAATTCTAATAGCTTCTTGTTTCTACTAGTAAGGCACCTGTTACTACTAGCGTGGCACTTGTTCCTAGTAGCTTCTTGTTACTACTAGTAAGGCACTTTGTTACTAGAAGCGTGGCACTTGTTCCTAGTAGCTTCTTGTTTCTACTAGTAAGGCACCTGTTACTACTAGCGTGGCACTTGTTACTACTAGCTTCTTGTTTCTACTAGTAAGGCACCTGTTACTACTAGCGTGGCACTTGTTACTACTAGCTTCTTATTCCAATGTTGTATTTTGCAAATTGGTGGTCCATCTTGTTTGAATGTGGACCCTGTTGGAGGAGAGATCTATGCAGCGGGGGAACCATTTTTTGGCCACAAGCAACAGGTATTCTTGTATCCCTGGAGGCGCTGTCAGATGGTCTCAAAAGAACCACATGGGCTCCGAAGGTACTGACCAACACTTGCCAGCACCAGTCTGGCAGAATGCTGACCTGATTGCACAGATGAGCCAACCAGCAATTTGTGTTTGATACATGCAAGCAGAGTTGAAGGGATTGTTGTTCTTTCTTGGAGATCTCCAAATAGAAAGGGCAGTAACACTGAATAGAGTCAGGGGGAAGGCAGTAATATGAGTTCATGTTGAATGACTCGAAGGACTTGCAGATCACCTTTAGCTGCAATGTACAAATATAGAAGTTGTGGTATGATTCTGTATGGCTCTGTGACATTTGCTCTACCGAATGTTGGGTCTCTTTTGTTGCAAACCCTTGCCGTGCGATCCCATGACCTCTAGGAAGTGCATGTGTTCAGCCCGCCGCCCGTCCCTCCGCTGTCGCCTTTAACAACTTCTGGAAGACCCGTGTGGAAGCATTGGTGACATCATGAAACCCATAGCTCTATCAAGGGTGTCCGCGAGCTAGAGGATCTTGACCTAGAGGTTCATCATTTTTCTACTTACTCATCTGAAGCCAGACTTCAGCGCCCCATGGCGCTTCACGTGTTGCTTCGCCCCGCGGCATCCGTGGCCGGCGTGGAACCGCCGCAGCACCCCGTTCTGCGGAGCACGTTGGGTTCGGCCTGCAGAGCTTGCGCAGGGATGCCCAACGCGGCGTTTGGAGCGACGCCACTGTTGGGGACAGGGCTAAATTGGATCCGTTTTTGAGGGGGAGGTCATGTTCCCAGAGTCCACGAGAAGTATGCAGGTCATGGTACTGGGCAGTTCAACTAATCATATCTATGTTGCAGCACTGAATGGATCGACTGCTGGGAATGAGGACTTGCATAGTTTTACGTACCTTGTTTGTTGCCCAGAGACACCATCAGCTATGGTTTGATTTGCTCTCAACAGTGTTGGACTTGAATGGACTTGACATTTTTGCTGGTTATGTGGTATTTGCTGCTATGTAAGCACGCTGAGTGTTCCCAAACCTGGCTAACTCCAACACATAATTGTCACATGGCACCATTTGCCTATACTCAAGACTCAAGAATAATAGTTTTGGTTTAGCCCGATCAAGTGCAGTCTCTCTCTATATATATAAATATACACACACCCATTGGTTCACCATGATGCTGTTCAACCTCCGAATATCCAAACATCCAAGCATAGATCTTGGGACAACATGACAACATCAAGATCTGTTGGAACCAGCGTTTGGATATTGAAAGATCAGTTGTCCAACGTTGGACGCCGTTCCTTTGGACAGATCTTGGGACCACTTGATCAGCTCGTCCGCATGTTTTACTTTCTTGTTTCTACAAAAGGCACTGCCAGGGCACCATCTCTTGAACACGCCAGCGCCAATGAAAAGAAGAGGTAACTCGTCTTATCTATGTGCCACCAAGTGAAGAAATTGGAACCAGAAGCTACTAGGTGGAGGCCATCGCCATGGAGGCCATCCCTATTAGGAACAAGAAACACTAGTAACAGTATAAATAGATCCACAAATCATCCGCTGTGGCCGCCGTCAGGTGCGCTCCCGAAGTCGCTGCGTTGCCGCGGCTTCGCCAAGCTACGCGGCCGAAGGCGCTCAAGCTGCTGGGCCCAAGCGGAGGATGAAACGTCGGTGTCGTCAAGAAACGATGTAGACATACACCTGGGAAGAGACCCACATGGAGCCTGAAAAAATGGACTCTTGGAGGACGATTTTCCTCTACAACCCAGTGGTTTTCAGGTTCCATGTTCATCTTCCACGTGTATATTTACTGTATTTAGATATGATATATAAATAAATATATACTGTGGGCACCCCAAGCCATGAAAACACAGAGTATGAACCACATTGAACCACCCAAGCATTAGAGGGATGTTTTGTTTGTCTTTCATGTCAACTGGGGATGCCAGGGACCGAAGGTATCCGAAGGTATGATGTCTTGAGTTTCACTGTGTACACTGTTTAAGATCTACACTCCCTGGAATAATCACGCAGGTGGAAAACAGGAGAATGGTCACCCAAGGTTCGATTCTGTCAGATGCATCCCCTTCCGAGTCTACTTGTCTACTCAGAATCGGGCTTCCGCCTCATTGAAAGTTCATGAAAGTTCCGTCGTGTGCTCATCGGATGGGTAAGAGCCCTCAGAAAAGTTTAGAGGGTTTGGTCCTGAAGGGTTGAACAAAAAAGCAAAAACCGTCTCCCTGAATCATCTGGATGGCTTCCCTGGCCCAATCTCTTCGTGGGGCGTGATCCGCAAAAAGATCAAAAAGATATTGTCAGGACTTAACTAAGTTTTTGAAGAGTGTTTGAAATCATCAACTAATCAATGTGGACCATGGCACCAAAGAATGAGGAATTGGCCAAATTAAAATATAAACATGAACGGGGTGAACAACAGCAAACATCTTCAGGAGCTGGTGTGGTGGGAGAAATGTACGGATCTGGCAAGTGCGCGCGGTTTTCACGCTGGACAACCCTGTTTGGCCACTTTGGGGTCGGAGGGACCAACGAACCAATGGACCGTCGAGGAAATCCGCCGACCGGAAGATTTGGCAAAGCTTCTTCGAGTCGAGGTAGAGACCACGAAATGTTTTGGAGACTTCCCTGTGATGTCTCTTTATTGTTGCTTGGGGGAAGATGTCCGAGAGTGATCTTTTGTTGGGTGTAAGCTTATGTCACAAATTAGATGAAATAGATTCAGATGTGAGTATGGAGTTATACGGGAGGCCACGATGAACCGCCAGGTGACTGCAGACAGCTATACCTACAACACTCTCCTGAGCGCCTTCGAGCGTGGCGCCCAGCCACAGATGGCGCTGCACTTCTTGAGGCCGGTGAGCCGGGCAGTCCAACAAGCAGATCAGATCAGTCAAAGAATTATCTTGTTATTTTTTTGTGTTTCTGGGCAAAGGTCGCTTTTGACCAACCAGACCCCTTTGGATTGGACCAGTTTGGACCCCCGACACTTGCCTTGACCAAGGCAGATGGCTTCGACGTCGGTAACACCCACTGCTGCCACTGGGATGGTCTCCGTTGGGGGGAGAAATCGCGGTGAAAGGTTGGATCCACTGGCTTTGCCGGAAGAACACCGGCAGAATGCACTGAAGTCTAGAGAGAATGTTTCCCAGACCAGTGGCCCTAAGGAGCATGCAGCATGCACATTGAGTTGAACCTCTCCATGTTTTTCTATGTTAGGATGGGACAGTAAATATTGTCGCTTCCGTTGGGCTTGGGGGTGGTAAGCTACATTAAGCTACATGGCCTTCGAAATACTCCATGGAATTACACTTCTTCGAAATAGCTACTCCCTGAAACCACCCAAATGTTTCTTTGGCAGTCCGCAAGGCTCACAATGGATCTGGTCATTCCTGTTGTTCACACCACTTTTTAGTGGACCATTTACTATTTAGTCAGTGCCTTCTGTGGTGCCTTGACCAGAATATAACACTTGGAAGAGGAATTCATAAATTTTACTGACTGGAGGTTCCTATGCAAATTTGGAAGGGAACATCTTCTTGGGGAGAGCCAGCTGCGCTCGTGCCACATTCCTCACCGAGACGAATCAGAGCACAAGGGGGAGCTGGATACGGAAAGATCGCATCTGATCAAACCCTAGATCGAAGCAGATCGACTATCGGATCAGAATGTTTGAGGCCTTAGGCCTCATTTCAGGCACATCGACTAGAACGATTATTTGTTTGTTTCATTTGTCCACGTGCTTCGTCACCACTGAGTCACCAGCTCTTTGGATGAAGCATCCTCCACGTCACGGGGAATTGTTCAGCCAAGATTTTGACCGGATAGGAACCCCAAAACAACACCCACGGCCCCATCACACTGCATAAAGCACCACCCATGGCCCCATTGGCCCAAAATTCAACCAAACATGTTCTCTGACCCTTTGACACATCTCAATGCTTCGTGGGTCCATACTTCATCCTGTAGTGCCCGCCATGGCGTCAGCACTATGTCTCCGACGGATTCTGTGGGTGGCTTTGCTGGCTGCGTTTGGTGCTTGGTGTAGGTCCTGGATGCTGCAGGGTGGCTATGGATACCTGGATTGGCGCCTTGGATTGGCTCCGCCGGGCCTATACTCGCAAGGTGGGTGTATTGATCCGATTGTGGATCCGCTACCAGCAGACCCGTGTAGGGGTTCAAAGACCACCCCAAACGGGGTCTGGCATAAGTTCTGACTTTGGATCGATCCAATTCTGCCGAAAAATCATCTTTGTTGACACCGGTAACTCAGACAAGCGACTTGCCCTTGGACAGACCGGCACAAACTTGGTATGACATGACATGGTATGAACTATAGGGTGACCTTTGCAAAAGATACATCAAGTTAAAATGCCATCATGTCATCTAACCTAAGCAGAGTAGCCAGTCCTTGACACCGTACGTTCTGAGCTACGCACATGATTCGTGTCAAAGACGTTCAGAAAGTCCCACCCGGGGAGGTCGAAGTTCCCTTGCAATTGACCTATCCCGTTTGGGCTCCTGGCCCACCTCCTGAGGTTCGGTGGTTTCGGTGGGTTTGGAGGGTTTAACCACCTTCTGAGGATATGGTCGGTGCCCTATAGGGTATATAGACGTAATTAAGTCCACCGGATTCACACCAGATCCACCGGATTCCGAGGTTCTTTCCGGAGCCGGCCGTGGGTGCCGTGGGCTCTGTCGTACTGGTCCGGGCGATGGATGCTTGGAGGCCTTGGGGGCGTTCCCATGGCTCCGGCTTCGTTTGGCAAGATGGACACGTGGTGACCAACAGTTGCTTGGAGATACGTGGACAGATGCAGATGATGCAGATGAGAGCGGAGAATGAACCAGTGAGAAAGAGAGAGAGAGAGAGAGATGCACCCAATCCGATGTGGTATTATGATTTCTCGAACATCCGCTGCTTTGCCTTGGAGAAATCGTTGGTTTGATATTGCAGAGCAGCATGGAGTAGCTTGATGTTTTTCCAGATGCCACCGAAGCCAATCCACTTCCAGCCACTTCCATGATGTTGGAGGTTGAACCAGGGAGAATAGACGAGCTGAAAACGAGTGTCAAAAAACACACATCTTCGTTGCTGATCCTATAAAATTATGGAGAAGGACCGGATCTCCTGATTAAAATATTAAATATATTGTTGTATATCTTATTATATCTTATTATATATATATAAAACACATATATAGTCACATATATATATTATATGATCTCGGATTACTCCTTTCCCCCTGTCTTTCCCAGGCCACGTGGTCCAGCTCACCTCGCTCCTGTCGGTGCACTTCGCCGACGGCGCCGCCTGCCGCGCCTCGGTGGTGGGCACCGCGGAACGCTGCGACGTGGCCCTGCTCAAGCTCCACACCACGCCCCTCGACGTCGAGCGTCGAGCAATCGCCACCGGGGGACGTCGGGGGGTACGGAATCGGGCGGTGAAACCAAGTGGAATGAACATAAATCATGTGACATATTTTTATATTTATACTTGGAAACTCATTTCGGGTGTTTTTTTGTTGTCCGGCTGCATGTGACAGAGGCTGTCTTTTTTTCCAAACTCAGGCTGATTTCCAGAAGTGCTCAAGAGTCTACAGGCCACCCCCGAATTGCTGGAATCAGTCATTTCACATCCCTTTCACGTCCCATTGTTTTTTTATCGTTACTGTAAGCTGGCCTGCATGGGCCTGTTAAATGGTGTACTGGGCGAAATTTCCGATCAATTGTCATAAGCCTTAACCATTTTGAGTACCCCACTGCCCCACTGCCTGGTGCGTGCGCTTGCTCTTTCTTTCCCTTGTGGGGTCGCTTCTGAGGAGTTGTTCCGGCGGCACCAGCCCCTTCGTGCTGCCGAAGCCCTTACGCTTGGCGCCAAAGCCGCCCAAGCTAGGGGAGGAGGTCATGGCGGTTGGGCATCCGGGCAATTGGGCCTGGCTCGTGGGGAACCTTGGCGAAGCACGCAAGGTATGGAGGGGCTTTTCCAACACATGCCCACTCTCGAAGGGGTGAAGGTGGAAACCATGGTCTCTTGGTGTGTGAGGTTGTAGTTTGCTCTATCGTTGCCCCAGCTGATCCCGAGAGTTTATATATATATATATATAGTCGGGTTTCTCCACACTGGGATGGGCCAGAGATTAAGGCAGCCTGTCACACAAAGTCTTGTGCGACCCGTGCGCTCGATGCTTAGGGTTGGTTTTTGCCCCGAAACCAAAATAAGAAAAAATACAATAGTATCTTTATTGCTCCTAGTAGTAAGGCCAGGAGCCCCTAGTCGCGTCCTTGTTCCTAATTAGTAGCGATGCCAAGAACCCCTAGTAGCATCCGTGCTCCTAGAAGAAGAAGTATATAGCATTTCACCCCGCAGTCACCGTTGGCTCGACCGCCCGATGCTGAGTGATTGAGGCGTCTAGACAAAAGGGGTTTCAAATTCCAAGGTCCAAGTGCTTCGAAAGGGTAAACTTGTAAACTCCTACCTGATTGGTAGACGGACCATATACTGTCAGAACTGCTCCACACTGCCATCGCAGCGCCCTTCCGACCGTGCAAGGGGGGGGAGTTGTTTGAATCCGGTGATCACAGAACAAAGTACAGTTTTCCTGCAAGACATGTGTCCAAACATCTCCAAACCACTGCGGTTGGCTGGAGAACTTAGGAAGGGGGCCATCACTGGCGTGGGCAGGGACTCTTCCAGAGCGGTGCAGAAGTGCTTTGGCCAACGAGTGGACAAACATGGCTGGGGATTGATCCATCAGTACCCTCTTTCATGAGAACGTGGACTTGCATGAAAACGTGGGTGGTTTATACAGGCTTGAAGTATTACAATTATACAGTAATGTATGACACTCTAATATAATATTAATACACAACTAATGTCAACAGCTGTGGAACGATAGCATACCATATGCATGTACAGAATACTATAGCTTGTCACGCCTATATTTGGCTCAAGACTCCCGTAGAGCAAGCGGACAACAAGTGCGCGCCATCGCTGTCTACGAGGGAGAGGATAGTCTACCTACACTTCACGTTGGGCAGATTAATATCCACATGCAGGTTATCAGCCGTAGCCGCTCTGAGGTTACGAGCTTTGAGAGACCAGTACTGCAATCAATACTCAACCTGCAATGTCGAGTTCTGGAGGAAAGAGCAGTGGACAATTCTCTTTCGCCGCTCCAGGAGGAAACACATCACAGTCATCACCTGGCTCGATAACCGGTGCTAGCTCTGCTGATGCTGCCGCAGTGATTACCACGCCATCTACATCACAGATATCAGGTGGTGGTAGAGTCGCTCCACTGGAGACGACATCTGCCGGATCCGATGTGAGAATGGGCAACGCAAAAAGAGTCATGAAGAGATTTACGAGGTCTACATCACCGAGGACAACATCAAGAAGATCACCGAAGAGAGATATTGAGAGAGTT